GGTGAGGGGGGGGAAAAAAATAGTTCCAAAAAGTGCGTTTAGTTTTCCGGATGCCCGGCGAGCGATCGCACGTTTCTGCTTAAAACCCAACAAGTCTCTCGGGCGGTTTTTTGTCCCGGTACCTCCCCCATGAGCACGTTTCAAACTTTACTGCACAAAGAAACAAGCAGGGCCCCCCTTTGGGAAAGCTTTTTGAAAATGCGCCGGAGGTTTTGGGGTATGAATGAGAAGTTTGGGGTTTTAAAAAAATGATGTCGAGAAGATGTTTTGGGTCATAAATGGAGGATGGAAAAAGGGGAACCTCACAAAAAGGGCGTGAGGTGGGGGAGAAAAGGGATCCCAATTTCCCCGGGATCAAATTGCCGCGAGGGCTAGGGAAAGGGTTGGTAAAATTGGGGAAGGAAAAAGGAAAAGGGGAATGTGGGAAAAATTGATCGCGGGCCCTGAAAGTCGGGTAGAACAGAAAGGGGGGAAGTCTAGTGCTTTTTGGGGGAAAAGGAGCAGACTGATAGATCGATGCAAAAGGGGAAGGAAAAGAGTCGAGGATAAAAATGGGTGGGAGTACCCGTATTTTAAAACTTTGGGGGGGGTGAGGGGAAAGGGAAAAGCCCCCAAAATGAACCCAAAGTGGTCAAAATTTGAGCCCCCCCCAGGGGGAAAATGGGGGGTTTTTTCCCCCCAAGGGTAACAAAAGTGGTGGGGGGAAAAGGGTTTGAAAAAAGGGAAAGGAAAAGTCGGGGATAGAAAATCTCGAAAAAGGAGGAGATTTAAAAAACATTTTGAAAACCCCTTTTTTTTAAGTGGATACGGGCTGCATTTGAAATGCAGCAAGGTAGGGAAACAAATATTTGGACAAGGGAAATTTATCATTGCGTAGAAGAAGGGCACTTTCATTAAAGGTCCCTTTCTGAGAAAGACCCAAAGGGAATTTACAAAAAATTTATAGCCTGGGAAGGGGTTTTTGGAAAAACAGCCAAAGTGTAATTTTGGTTCTTGTAAGAAAGAAACCAAACGGGGAAAAAACCGGGAAAAAGAAAACCTGAAGCTCCCCCCGATTACCCCTGAGGCCCGGGGTTTTTTCCACTGAAAATAGGCCAGGATTGGCGTTGAAGAAAATATCGGGAATCTGTAGGTAAAGGCACCTACGGACTAGAGGGGTTAGAAAAGTCAAGTGTGGTGGCTTTGGAAGATTTTAAAAGTAGCGGGGGAAAGGGAAAGCGTTCCCAAAAAAAGGGGGTTTGTGAAGATGGAGGAGGGGGGAAGAGAAGGAACAGGAAGTGAATCAGTTTTCCTTTAAAGGGTTTTTAGTCTCTGCAATATATTCTTAAATGGCCCTTTAATTTTTTCTGAATTCAAAAATGTATGGGAAACCATTTTTGGGATAGGAGGGGGAGGGTGAGTAAAGATTGGGACAGTAATGGACTGTACCAAAATAGAGGGGGAGGGAAAAAATGTAAGGGAAAAAGGGGATGGGGTTGGGGGGGGCAGAAGAAGGGTTTGAAACCTGGGAGGTGACCCCGAAGAGGGGGGGGGGGGGGGAAACTTGGGAGGGGGGGCGGGGGGGGAAGGCATTTGTAGAGGAGGAGGGTGAATTCCACATTGTAATAGAGCCAGAGGGGAGGGGGAAAAAAACTAGGTTTAGGATGGAAAGGTAACGTTTTGGAGGGGAGAAGGGGAAGGAAGGGGGCCCAAAAAAGTTTGGGGCAAAGTGGATTTTTTGGGGCTTTAGTAGGGGGGCGATTGGTTTTAGGTGTCGTACGGTTTTTGTTATAGGGGCTTGTGAGGAAGGACGCGAAGATGTGAGAACAGGGCTGGTTGTAGTCGGGGGCGTTTAGAAAAGGACAGCAAAAAGGGTTAGATGTCGTAATTTCCCATGGGAGGGGGGTAACTAAAAAAGGGGGAGGCTGCAGAAGTGGGGGCCCCCGAAGTGGGGGGGTGTTTGGAAACACGAGAATAAGAAACCCCGGGGGTTGTCTCCCCTTTTAGGCGGGATGAGTTTAAATGCCCTTTGCATAAGGGAGACCTTCTGCCTCTTTGAGGCAACGGAATTTTTACGTTCTTTTAAAATAGACCCGGCAAGGCGGGGGGACGAAGGGGGGGCTTAAATTTCAATTAAGGCAGTGGAGGGTTTACTGCCAAAATGTATTAGAATGGTTGTCGGCACCAAAAAGAAATGGGCTTTTGGGGGGATAGATCTGAATATTTCGTTGGGGGGACCCAAAACCCCCAGCAAATTTTTACATTGTTGCGGTGTTTTGGTATCCCTTTCGAACTTGGAACCCTGTTCCCGGGGAATATTTCAGGGGGGAGGTTTTCGGCTGGCAAAAGTTTTAAAAGGCCTACATTGCAAGGGTAACCCTCTCCCCCCGGGGCCCGGGGGAAAGGGCTAAGTGTTTTAAATTTTTTAGGATTGGGAGATCCCGGGGGTTTTCCCGCTTTTTTTTCAAAAAAAAGGGCATTGGGCCCCAATGACTGGGAAATTTTTGTTGGGAACTATGGGGAAATGGGGCAGAATGACAAATACCATTAAAAAGAAATTTAGAGAAAGGGGTGTTTTTTTAATTAGTGATAGGAGTTTGTATCGATTTTCGGGAAAGGAGAAAAAAGATCATGAGCTTGGGTTTGCTTCTGGACAGTGACATGCGCGTACCCCTCTTGAGAGCGTGGAAAAAGAAATTTTCTCTGCAACTTTACGGGAGGAAACGCTTTGGCAATTCTTGGTCGGAAAAGGGAGGCAGAAAAAAGAAGTTGGTTTAAAGTAAAGAATTTGTCCTTTGGGGTCCGGGAAAATTTAGGGGGAGGGGGGAGGGGGGCTTGACGTGTCGGCGTTTCCGAGTAGAATGGGGAAAGGGAACGAAGGAGTCATCAGGGGATTGACGTTGGGGTTTAGGAGTAGGACCGGAGTTGGTCCCGGGATGAAAAGGGTGGGCGATTCCCAAAAATTTCCCACCCTAGGGGAGGAAACCCGGAAACCCTAGTCAAAGGAGAAACCCGGAAAATTCAGACAAATCGAAGGGGGTCAGTCGAAACCCCCGGGCCTAAGCGGGTGAGGAAAAAAGGGACCCGCAAGAGGTCAGGGGCATAGGAGAGTCCGAAGGTGGTTTAAACACAAGGGAGGGGTTAAATGGGGTGCGGTTTTTCAAAAAGGGGCCCCGGGGGGGGAGTGGTTTTATGGACTAAAGGCTGCCCCTGGTTTTGGTTACTCCCTTTTCTTTTTGGTTTTTTAAAAAAAAAAGAAAAAAAGAAAAAAATAAAAAACAAAAAAAAAAATAAAAAAAGGGGGGGGGGCGGGGAGGAATAGTTCCCGGAGGAATGAAAAAGGCCCGGGAAAAAAAACCCCTCCCCGCCCCCGAGGGGCTCGAAACCGCTTGTAGGAAGGGTGCAGCAAAGGAAAACCCCCCTGCCATTTCCCACCCCTTTTGCCAGTAAAACCCGCAAAAACCGGGATTGCAACCTCAAATCTGCCGAGTACCCGGTGGTAAAAAGGGGAGGGCGGCCGGTATCCGGCCACCCAAAACAAAACCTCCTTCAGCCACCACCCCCGGGAAACCGAAAGGTGGCTTCCAGAGTAACCCCTCGCCCCAAAAGGGCACCCCAAAACTACTCCGGGATACCGGGGAGGGATCGGGACATCCCTAGGGAACAGATTCCACGGCCAAAAATTTCGGGCCCCGCCCAAAAAAAACCCCAAAAGGAAAAGGGATTGACCCCGGTGTCCTTTTTTCCCCTTTCCCAGGGGAAAATAGCGCCTTTGGAGAAATAACGAAGGCTTAAAAAAAGGAAAGGGGAAAGGGAAAGGGGGGGGGGGAGGAGGAGGAGGGGTGGAAAAAAAAGGGGGGGGAAAGGGGAGGATGGGTTTGGGGGGGGGAGAGAATGGGGGGTAATTAGGTTTTTGGTTGAGGAAGAAGACCGGGGGGCTAATTTTCAGACCAAGAGCCTCTTTTACCCCCGCCAAGGGGCCCCCTTTAAGAGGGTCTTCAATTTAAAAAAACTTCTTAAAATTTTTTATTTTTTTTGTATTGCCTACCGTTGTAATCCTGAAGCACCCATTGGGAATTTTTACTATTAAATTCTAAGGATTGGGACCAGGATTCTGACTTCTTGTTACAAAAAAACCCCGTAACAGCTGGGGTGCTAGGGGGCAGACCCCTTTTTAGTATTCACTGGAAAATCTCTATCATTTTAGATAAACGATTTTTTTTTTTAAAAAAATTTGTTTCAAGGGAAAAAGAGGAAATTTAGCTTTAAAAAATTGTGTTTTTTAAAAATTTTAAAGGGTTTAAAAGATGATCAGTTAGTATTATTTGGCACCCAACCCCTTGGTCAGTAGAGCTAGAAAATAATGAAACTCTGAGTCCTCTTTCTTCATTGAGTTTGATAAATGAAATTTTGTTGCCACAAAAATTCCCTTTTTTCTTTACCCGCATCCCCCTTTCATAAAAAAAGTAACAGGGGTTTCAGAGGAAACAATTTTTAAAAGTTAAAATAATTCAAAAAACTTTCTTTAATATTAACTCAAAATTAAATACATAAGGAAATTTTGTAAAACCACTGGGTAATTTTTATGTATATAAAAGGGAACCCATCTATGAAATTTCCTTTTTCCAAAACATTTGAAGAAAAATTTTTCTTTTTCCTTTCCATTTAATGTACATATAACGTATTTAAGCATTAAAAAATGTAAAAACCCTTTTCAAAATACCCTTATCTAAAACCTTTTTAACTCCCTGAACGAAGCAAGCTTTTCTTTAAGATTGCTCCTAATTTTCCTATGGGATTTTGAAATGGTAATTTTTAAATTTATTTTAAAAATTTGGGATTTTTATGTAAATTTTGATCAGGAAATTTTTGCTACTGTTATACCTTACAAAATCTTTTAAAATTTTTTAAAAAAATATTATACGCAATAAATTAAAATACTACCAAAAAATATTTTTTTGAAGTTATTCCCTACACGAGCAATTTTTACTATTTCACAAAAAAAAAAAAAAAAAAAAAAAAAAAAAAAAAAAAAAAAAAAATGTACAAGCCTATTTATTAAGTTGTATTACTTTTTTTTTTTTTTGCTGTAGCCTCTACAGTAAGGCAAAGATTCTATCATACTTGATCATATACTGTGTTAACATAATACAGGTATCATAAAATACATGTAGCTTATAACAATGGAAGATTAAGTTTTTGAGCATTTAAGCCTTGATGGGAGGATTCTGCTTCACCTGCAGAATGATGGAGCGCATTCGAGAAATGTCTCTTGAGGATTTGGAAGTCTTAGGGTTAAAATTGCACAACTTGGTTATTCGTTCCCACTCTGTGCCTGGTTCCATCTTCGCTGTATCAGCAACTAGTTCCTTCTCAGCAGACCTGGCAGGAAATTTACTGAAGTTTTTAAAATGCTTAGACAACCCATGATGTTTCCATCTTATATGCATTTACTACTAAACAAGCAGATAAATTTTACAACAGTGCATCTGAACCTAAAACTAAGCATTATTTACACTCCTTATCCACTACTTTCTAATATACTCAACTCTCCTACTTGTTCTCTCTTCTCTCTCACACCAGTAACCTGTACTGCAAGTCTATTATATAAACTTTTACACTATTATAGTAATCCCTGTACCCAAGTCTCAGACCATGTTTCTTAGATTCTAAACAAAATAAAACAAATAATTAAGAGATGGGCGGTGAATGTTGCAACAAGGAGAAGGGTGGAGGCAGTGGAGATGTCATGTCTGAGAGCAATGTGTGTGGTGTGAATACAGCCTCTCCTCACTTAGCGACGTACTCATTTACCGACACCTCAGACTTACGACGGACTCTCTGACCAGTATTCATACCTAAATAATGTATATTAGAGTCGATTTCCTCTATTCCGTTTATTTCAATGTACAGTACACTACTGTATAAACATTTAAAAATTTATCAGAAATGTTATAAATGGTACAAAGGTGACATTAAAACAATATCAAAGATGGTTGACACAAACTCACTACCATTATAGTATGCTCCTCAATTAGCGACAAATTTGTTTAACAATGTGGTTTTAGGAAAGATACTCCGTCGTAGAGTGAGGAGACGCTGTATAATGCAGAGAACTCGTAGTTTGGAAATTAGGAGGAGGTGTGGGATTACCAAAACTATCATCCAGAGGGCTGAGGAGGGGTTGTTGAGGTGGTTTGGACATGTAGAGAGGGTGAAACAAAATAGAATGACTTCAAGATTGTACAAATCTGTAGTGGAGGGAAGGCAGGGTAGGGGTGGCCTAGGAGAGGTTGGAGGGAGGGGGTAAAGGAGGTTTTGTGTGCGAGGGGCTGGACTCCCAGCAAGCATGTGTGAGTGTGTTTGATAGGAGCAAATGGAGACAAGTGGCTTTTATGACTTGACGTGCTGTTGGAGTGTGAGCAAGGTAACATTTACGAAGGGATTCAGGGAAACCGGCAGGCCGGACTCGAGTCCGGGAGATGGGAAGTACAGTGTCTGCACTCTGAAGGAGGGTTGTTAATGTTGCAGTTTTATAATTGTACTGTAAGTGCACCTCTGGTAAGACAGTGATGGAGTGAATGATGATGAAAGTTTTTCTTTTTTGGGCCACCCTGCCTTGGTGGGAGACTGCTGATGTGTTATTAACAAAAATAATAATAATTAAGAAATACACATGGACTTTTTTAATGTAACAATAATATTAGGAATGCAGGAAAGCTAACCATATACTATTTAATATAAAAAAAACTTTGTACTATTTCACTATGACATTTTCACGAGACAAATGATCAGTAATACTATTAGTGCAAAACATGCTTCCACTTCACACTTGGATGACAGGATGTGTGTACGACGGAGTTACTATAATACAGCAAAGTCAAGAGATCACCGGGAGGCTGACTGAAACCACAAAATGAGGCTACAGTATGAGAGTCATTAGGATTTCAACTTGAAGTCTGGTATTATCCTCCTGTTGCTTTACCCTCCACACCACAGTCGTAAGTTTTTTTCATCCAGACTCTTGGCAGCACTAGTGATATTAATTAACTAGAGCTTAGATAATGACATTTTGTGAAAGAACTCGACTTAATCAGCAGCCACTAATTCTAGATTTTGTCCCTTCTAAGTTATTTGGCAATGAACTAAAAATTCTAAGTGAATGAATAAAATAATCAAGAACTGAACCCATGGTAGCAATTAGTGGCTATCACTAACCTTCCCCAGGATTCTAGATGTATAACTATAGGATTCTGGGGTTCAGTCAACTATGGCAAGGGGCCTGTAATACCAGACCACATTCAAATCCTCATCACTCCATAACCAATAATTCTTTCTTTACAAATTTTCAGCATGCAGAATTGTAGAGATATTTAAGCAAACGATAATTTATCATAAAAAGCAATATAAAAAAAAAAACAGAAGTGAGAAGGGGGATGGAAGTGAGGCAAAGGGGGAGGGGGAAAGGATAAGAA